GGTGATATGCAAGAGGTCTGGTCGCCACATTGACGAGCTGATCGGGTGGCACACTGCACGCGAGCTCATCTGTGACGAGTCACTTCTACTCACCACCATAACGAACCCAAATTGATATGGATCTGGGTACCTGCTCGCCCACACGTTTTCAAGCTCGCGAGCTCGCCTCTTCTTGTTTTACCTTTCGGCGAGAATCGAGCCAACCCAACAACGTCGGCCCGAGACTACATCCATCCCAGTTCGTCAACCGAACACTGGGGGGGGAGTAATGTTGGGATTAGGCCCAACGCCCTCTTAGGGCCACATGTGGCAGGCCCAATTACACACCCGCAGGCCCAAAAGGAGGAGACATACCCACGTGGGCAGTACCACGCGGGCCAATGAAAGGCTTACATGTGCAGATACATGTCAGCACTTGGGGTTATAAATACCCCCCAACCACCTCCGAAGAAGGTAATTAATCTCTACGCTTCTCTCTCTGCAATTACTCCTTGAGAGCATCTCTCTCTAGAATATTGAGTATTGCTGACTTGAGCGTCGGAGTGTTTTCCCCGAGGAAACAACCTCGGGATTTTCAGGTGTAGAAGCAGCTGAAGACTCCAACAGTGTTGGATTGTGAAGCTGCCGAAACAGGATTCATAAAGAATAATGTTCTTATGAGCTTCACCATGATAAAATCTTGGTTAATAAGCAAGCCACAAAGCGGATCTCCTTATTTTTGGGGACATTCACATGAGATATTCATTTCATTTTATTCATCTAGTCTAGTCTAGTCATGTCGAGAAATAAAAGGCAACTAACTTAACTTGTGATATTTGTATCAACAAAAATTTTTCCAAAAAAAAAAAAGAAAAGAAAAGAAAAAACAACACTTGTGATATTTAACATCTATTGGAACAAAAAGATCAAGAATTGCCATGTTTTCTAATTCTTTCTGCACTTATGACATGTATGTTGGTTGGTTCCCACAGCTGTATCAACGACTTTAATTTTCCTTCTCAATTTTTAACTTGAACAAAGAACATGGATTGGATCTGAAATCACATGAATTTGATCTGAGATGTTGTGTATGTCTATATTTACATATATGTACACTGTATGACTTGAGCTGTTAGAATCAAATCACTGTAAATATATATAGATGGGGAGAGGGGGTCACATGATTTTGATCTAAGATTGGTGGGTTTAAAATTAAAATAATTACTGAATCAACAGAAAGTAGATCAATAAAACAGGATTAAGGGGGGAAAAGAGCCTAGTTTATGTCTTTTGGGTACCACGTTACAGACTTCCCCCATGGTGGTGCATTTTTTTATTTTTTATTTTTTTGAGAAAAGGCAACTGGATGCAAGAGTTTTGAATTAGTGTTGCTGTCATTTTTGTCAGGTTCTGTTTTTGACATAGTCATTGCACATGACATGATACAAAGAAAAAAGATGAAATATATGTGAATGCCCTTAGTCATATGTACAAATTTATTGCATGTATATATAAGTGAAAAAGAGAGATGAACGCCCATATATGGAATATGGTATGGAATAATCTTCTAAACATAGTCATAATCTTGAAACCATTTTGTCAATCAAGGAGAAGGTAGGTTTTGACGGCAAATCTATGTCTCAAGTATTGACTTTGGCCTGAGGGAAGAAAAAAGTGGCCCCTATAGAAATCGAATGGTGTAAAGTGCAATGGTTCTATCATGACACCTTTTTCATTGTTGTACTTAACCAGCTGTGTGAATGGTGGTTGGCACTTTGGAACTATATGTGCATGCACCATTCAAGTCCTTTAGTCTCCTAAACTAACTCTATGATTAATGGATCCAAAACAAGTTTTGTCTTTAATTGCTTAATCAAATCCCATCGTTAAGTCTCTACTCCTAAGTAAGAAGAATTGTCATTGCATCGAATTATTTTATTGTAAGTCAATATGTATACTCTTCAACTTGTTCACTTAATTATTTGGGATAAAGTATTGGCTAAGTGAATTTAAAGTGTGTTTTCTTGGTCAAATTTTCTTGCTTAACTCTTTTTTGTTATCTTCATAAAACTGAACAAAAAACTATCTTCATAAAACTAAACAACAAACTATCTCTTATTGTATGCTTTATTAAAATATAAAATACAAAAGAAAAAAAAATGATAGATGACAAGTTGGACCTAACATTTTTCTTTCTTATTTTTAAAATATTTTCTTTAATTTTGTGGGTGAACTGCCCAATAGGCAATAACCTTGATCTAAAAGTATACCAATTTGAACACTCTTTTGGAGCCTCCCCTTCGTTTGTTTGGCATGTCTTTAATGCTGTGATTACATCAATTTTGATCTTTAAACCCTTCATTATGCCGCCCCGTCTGCCCCTTCCTTGGTTTTTCTTAGTGGATGGCCTTTTGCTTTCCATAAAGTACAACTACATAATAAAAAATTAAGGCTTTACAAAAGGAGAATCATGATGCATAACCTCCATATTAAAAAGGTCAGTTCCTTGTCTCCTAAACACAATATTGCTGTCCTAATCTTCCCTTAAATTCAGGATTTGAGTTCCCCAAATCCATCTTAAAATAAAAATAAATAAATAAATAAATAAATAATCCCTTTAGACATAACTTTGTGAGGTGCAATGCATAGTGGGGGAAAATGTTCTTAAAGTGTGTAACATTTCTTTCTCAGTCAAATTTGCCTGCACCTTTAGGTTTATTCTTTGTATTTTATATAACTTAATAAGCCTCAAATTCACTTTCGAGAATGTTCATGTTTGAAAATGACTATTTTTTAAGTTAGAAATCTTAAATTCAAGTTCGTTTTTATATATCAAAAAGATCTTGGTTTATACTTAAATATTATCAGTCAAAAAACCCAAAACAAATTGCTTTATGGGCTAGAATGTAACAGTTTATGGTCCATGAACCATACTGGATAACACTGCAAGCTCAACCTGTTACTGACTCACACTCACTAGTCACATCAACATTTCTGAGCACTAGATCCTTGAAGCAAGAAGAATTACAATAGTGGAAAGCAACGCAGACTGAGAATACTTGGTTTCTACTGATCCAAATTTTGTTCCATCATTCTGGAAAATTTGTAGGAGGTTAAAAGTACATTCCATGTTTTTAAGTTTCAACTTCCATTGACAGATATACAAGTTAACAATGGTAGCCACAAAATGCCCAATCACCTCCCAAAACATCTCATGACTGAAGAGGTAAGTGTGGATGAGAGAAACTTCAGCCCAGCAGACCCACCAGGGAAATAAGAAATAGCATAGTATGCAAGTGCAAGAACCTACAAATTCCATGGAAAATGAGAAGCTTTGGTCACAACTGAAGACAAACTGGATTTTCATGCATGTAGTAAACCAAATTTATTTCTCATCTGGAAAGTCTAAACAATAAGCTTAAAGTAAATCAGCTCAATTCCTGGGCATGTTTTCATTGCAGGTTTTCTGGTTCTTTGACATAAATTTCTATATAATTTTGCATCACAAATTTCTCTATAATTTCTTGCTGTGAATTAAAAAACAGAGAGATTGCTTGAATTGGGATCTTAATTAAGAAAAAAGGGCTCAGAGCTTGAAAAATTCATAGTGAAGTGCATGAAGAGCAATAAAATATGAGGCTGAGCAAAAGAAGTGGAACTAGGATACCTGTAAAACAGAAAAGAGCACAGAGAGAATGTAGCTGTGAAGCACCATGGAAACATATATCGTACCCACCATACTCCCAACAAATCCCAATGTAAAAGGAAGTCTCTGGATAAGCATTGGACGACAGAAAAGACAAGGAGAAAATTAGAAAAAGTTAGATACATGCAATCAGACTGGTTTACTCTTATATTCTATAGCACTCAATATACAAATAAATACCTCTTTTGATGACATGTGGGCAAGCTGATTCTTTGGACCTCGGAGAGCAAAGAATGATCCAACAATAAAGGCACATCCAAGAGTAAAGCAGATAGCAAATTTCTGGGGCATTAACACCATGACTGGAAGAAACATGGTAAAAGCGATGAAAACAAAGAAGACCCCTGTTGCTAGAAATAAACCAAAATACATAAGTGCCTTCCCTGAAGGGACATTACTGGTAGCAGACTGCAGGTTCCCAGGTATATCTCTCACTCCTTTAGAAACCCTGAAACGGCAAGGAACAAGGAAAAGTATGTGACTACAAAAGAATGTTATACTCAATAAAAATGTAGATTGATTTGTATATTCTACCACCACCAATAAAAATACCATCCAAACTTTATCCTTTATAATGCAATGACAAAATTTTTACTTTTAATTCCTGTCTAAAGATGACCAACAAAAGAAGACATATCTTCTTACTTGGTGCTAAAAATATATTGCTACCTCAGGTAATCAAATTCACCATTCAAGCAGTGTTGCTTAATAAGCATAGCACAACTCAAAAAATAAGAGAGGAATCTATAACTGTTGCCAATCACCTTAGCTGCAGACTAAACAGGGTAGTACCACATGTTGTACTGCTTCACTTCATATAATAGAGATATGTATGGGGTAACAAAAATCAACTTGATTACACCAAGTAAAACTACATTAAGATCACCTCTGACCAATTAATAAAATGAAGGCAGAACTGATTAGATTATTCTTAAGAGCTGCATCTAATGCCCAAGACATTAGACCTGATTTCATACGCGAGGTAAAGAAGTGAGCAAGCATGTCATATCATCTTGATTCTTGTGGTTACCATTTACCACTTCTAAAAAGAGAAGAGACTGCTTCCGCCCAGACATCAGTGTGCATAATCACATAGAAACATACCTAGAGCCAAAAATCCGCCACACAACATTCTGAAACTAACTCATACAGATACCGAAAAATGACTGAAACTCTATATTAGATCTGCCACCCCAAGATCTGCAACCCATAATATGAAACCAAATACCAGCACTCAAACTATCTACAAGGACTTGCACTTGGAGGTTGCTTGGGTTTACCTCCATATGCATACTAAAAAAAAGATGCTTATAAGCTAAGTTATCTGCTTCCTGATTGCTTACACATTATCTAAAAAGCATTTAACTGCTCAGAATCAAGCAGACACATCAACCACATAAAAACATGTGAAGTCAAATACCCTACAGCTTGAAAATTAATTTCCAAATTTGAGATTCACTTAAAACACAGACACAAAACTCTACCAGATTTAATTACTAGATTATTTCTATGTGGGTGTAGACAAACAGCAATCTGAAACAATCAATTTCCCTAGAATAAATATAGGACTAAATCACTGTATTCCCAAAGAACCCTAAAATCATAGACCCGCCCCAAGTCCCATAAAGCAACCACCTTTCATCAAATTCACTGCTATAAAATCGACAACCCAAAATCAAAATCGCCGATCCATACCCAAAAGGAAAAAAAACATGAATTACAAAACTTTCACAAGATCAAGGAGAAAAAGATGATGCTTACACATTGAAGGTGCCAGTGACGGTATCATTAGCAGACCTCACTGCAGACTCGATATCGAACCCAAACGCACTCGTTCCTCCCTCTTCTGAGTCTCGTGAAGCTGCGTACGAGTTCCATTCGGACAACAGAGACGATCCCGCCTTGGGTTGCTCTTCGCTGATCCCCGTGCCACCAGAAAACCAGCCTTGCATTTCTCCTTTTCTTTTGTAGACGACCCAACAGCTCCACAACTTCTTTACTTGGATTCCGAAGGGAAGTTATCAGCTTTGATCCTTCTTCTTCCTCTTCCCCCAGCGGTGGTCGGATACCTATTCGGAATTCGTAATTCTGTGGAATGCCAAAGCCCAGAGCTGAGGGGATGGTGGGAATCATTAAATCCGTATCCAAACGCCCTTCAATTTTGTTTGAAATACAACTCAGTCCCTTACTTTCGGGAAAATTGTATTCCTCTCCCTAAGTTTCTCGCAGACGTGCAACCAAGTCCCACAGAGAAACTGAGATTAGCAGGTAAGTACTGAACTTTAAGTAGTGTTCTAAACAGAAAATGTGACTTGGCAACATTTTTTTTTTTTTTCAACTTTTTTTGAATTTTTTTTAAACTGTTATTATTAGGAAAAATTAACGATTAGAGTAAAAAGTCGGCCTACAATATGGAGGAAAAAAAAAAAAAGAAT